TTCATTATGTAATAATTATTGTTTATTAAATTAATTTAATTATGTATATTAATTATTATCTTCAGCTTCCATGAATGATGATTGAAATGTTGAAGAATACATTCAAACATAGACGCTACAGTTGTGACTCTTGTCTGTTCCATCAGGGAGGTCAGAAAACTTTCTCTATGCCTCATGTGAATAAATAAAGTACCCTTTTCACAGCCATACTGGATATATGTCTGCCTAGAATGGCTAACAAGTCTCTAAGCCTGTCTGTATTTATACGATACATATGAATTTGTCTATATTTTTTCCAAACACCATTTTTAATGTAATGGCTTTCTTGACAAGCCATTTTTTTTTAAACTAGATACAGGATTGTAACTTCTATGCAAGATTATTTGTAACCATTTATGCAGATAATATGTATTCCGTGACTGAGCTCGTATGATAAATAACTCGTATTCTGAAGCCATTTCCCCCTATTACAGTTAATCCTGCTCACATTTTGCCTCCTATTTTGGGGCAAGAAGAAAATGGCGAGCCTGACCTCGTATCCTGAAGTTTCATTGTATCGAGTTCCCTGTATCGAAGGCGGATATATAAATAACTATACAGGACAGCAGTTTTACAGTTTTGAACTGGTGAACAGGATATCTGGGATTTGTTCCTATTGGATCGACATCCATAAAATCACTTTGAGTCACTGGGTGGGAAAAAAATGTAATTTAGATATTCTACACAATTCCTTTTAAGAGGACCATGTACGATTATTATTTACTTTTTAAAATTGAAATGGAAGGCCGGAGGGGGGCCTACAAAACTAAACCAGAACAACAACAGATGAGGCTTCACTACAGCCAACCTTGTACATAATAAGACTATGGACCAGGACGACATACTGAACGCTCTATGAGAAGTAAAATGTTTGCAAGAACCAAGTGATGACTGAATCTGCAACCATGATCAGTCTGCAAGTATAAAGAGGTGTTGCCAGTTGAGAGCACGATGCAGGAAGCCAGAGAAGAAGAATAAACTAACATAGAACTGAGGCCGCTATCTGCTGTGGGATTTAGTAAGGGGGTGAGTCCGAGCACTTATGGACTGAATCATTCGATGTGCGCTGAGAACTTGCACCACTAATGTAAGAAAGGATTTGTTTTCTATACCTTGTGAATTAAGGTAGAGGTTTTCAAGCTTCCTGACTCCGCAACCCTTTAATAAAGTTCCTCACGTTGTTAGTGATCCTCAACCCAAAAATTTGTTTCTTTGCTACCTCATAACTTCAGTGAACATGTTTTTTCGATGGTCCTAGACGACCCCTGTGAAAGGGTCGTTCGACCTCCATACATGGTCCTACATGGATTGCTGCCATATTTTATTTAGGGAATTTTTTTTTAGGGCCGCAATAGTCGATTTAGTGATTACACTACTTGTGATATACATGTCTTGGGTAACTCCACAGTGAAAGTGGAGTTAATTTCTTTTATTCAAATATGTGCTATTTTTCATGCAGGTTTTTTTTAAAACAATAAAACACTTTAGACATCTAGCAGGGCAAAGCTGATTAAATTCTTAACAAAATGAGCACTTGGTAGGGCAAAGTTGAATAATTTGTTAACATTATGGTAGAACAGAGTCAACAATTTTTGAACAATCTGGGCGTTAGTAGGGTAGAGTATATGGATTTTTTTCAACAATTTGGACACTAAATAGGACAAACAGTTAATAAATTAGTCAACAGATTAGACATCTAGTAGATTTCTGATTGGACTGGCCATTTTGGAGGGCACCTAGCTGGTGAATTACTTAATGAATTGGACACTTAGCTGGACATAATGTTTCTTTCTGATTAGACGTGAAATTTAGTAGGACATAAATTTTTATAATTGTGCCATTATTTGTTACAAAGTGATTGTAGTCTATTCCTCCATTCCATCCTGTGCAATTAATTCAGCATCATGGATAGAATCCTGTCCAGCGCCTTTGGCCTCTCTCAGCAACATTCGATTCAGGGTTTCTTTTGGGCGTCCTTAATCACTTTATTCTCTATATTAGTACTTGTTTGGTGGTCCATGTTTCTTCTTAATATGTGTCCAATACAGTGTCTTTTGTCTTATGACTGTTGATACCATGTTAACTGGAAAAAAACCATTAGAATTGAGAATACCTAACTTGGTTTTAAAACTGAAGAATTTAGAGTTCCATATTTTATTTGGGCCTCTAAAAGCTGCTAATACCTTGCCAGTGTGTGTCTTAAGGACACACAGCTGACTTTGGATATATGCCAGCTGTAATGCCCGAAATACACAATTATGTACACATTAAAATAAAATAGTGAGAGAATCGTTGCAACCAGCAAGTTCTGATTTTGTTTGTAATGTTCTTTTCTTTTAGCAAAAATAACCATGCTTATATTATCTTTAACTTCTTGAAAATTAAATTCCTTAATAACTTACTTGTGTATGCTTTTATTTGCTACTTAAATGGCTGTTAAGTTCTCTTTTTTTTTTCTGCTGATAAATTAAAGTGTACAATGAGTAGAGAATGTACTAATTCAACCTTTGTCCCCTGAGAGGTTGTTAATCCAGCATCGCGGGCCTTTACAATCTCCCATAACTGACACTAAACCAGCATTGCTGCACTGGCCCTTTCCTGACAGGCCTAGTTAATGGCAATGGTTCTGTTTGCACCTGCACAGTGTTTAGAAGGACCCTGTATGATTGCACAGTGTTTAGAAGGACCCTGTATGACTGCACAGTGTTTAGAAGGACCCTGTATGACTGCACAGTGTTTAGAAGGACCCTGTATGACTGCACAGTGTTTAGAAGGACCCTGTATGACTGCACAGTGTTTAGAAGGACCCTGTATGACTGCACAGTGTTAAGAAGGACCCTGTATGATTGCACAGTGTTTAGAAGGACCCTGTATGACTGCACAGTGTTTAGAAGGACCCTGTATGACTGCACAGTGTTTAGAAGGACCCTGTATGACTGCACAGTGTTTAGAAGGACCCTGTATGACTGCACAGTGTTTAGAAGGACCCTGTATGACTACACAGTGTTAAGAAGGACCCTGTATGATTGCACAGTGTTAAGAAGGACCCTGTATGACTGCACAGTAAAAACTTGAAAACATTAACTCACTGAAGAAGAATATTTGGTTAATATGAACTAACTTTTGGTCCCAACAAGGATATAGTATTGTTATTAGTTCCCAGTTAGAGCAAACGCTTTTGTAACATAAACCCATTTTGCAGCCCGTCGGAATTCATGTTATCAATGTTTTATTTATTTCCTTAAAAAATGACCTAGGGATTTTTTTTTAGAAAGCATTTATGTCATAATTTGCTAATTTACTTTTAGTCAGCCACATAACCAGAGACAAAAATAATTAATAGAGAAATCCAACAAAGATGCAATAAAGTTTTAGACCCAATGGCACCAATTTTGAAATGCAAGTATGTGAATATGAACACTAAAAGAATACCCTTTAACACAGTATTCTATCAATGCTACGTTATCAATGCCAAACATGGACACTGTCTTCAGAAGGCAAAAGTAAAATAGTCACTACAGAAATGAAATATTCACGTACTATGCTAGGTGTCACAAGTAAAGATCAACCTAGGAACGATAAAAAGGGAAGAGTCGGAACAGAACCAATACTGAACTTTATAGGTAGACAACAAATGAAATGGTTTGACAATGTAAAAAGATTGCCATAAGAGGGCACCAGTGGTACGACAAGGTAAAAAGACTGCCATAAGAAGGCACCACAGACAGCAATGTTATACAGATACAGCTGTAACAGACCCAGAAGTTGAAGACAGACTGTAGAAAAATTAGAGACACTGAAAAGTACTATATACAAAGTGAACAGAAGGGCCCGTTCTAGAGATCTGTTCCTGCCCTGATGCTGCGAAGCATTCAAGGAGGAAATGCCGTGTGGCATTGGTAGTCATGTCCAACCACAACCTTCTGTCTCGTGTACTTTCAATCAACTCTGACATATATGATCCTCCACGTCATGATGTCAAACTTTCTAGCATCTTTTCTCTAGGTCCCCCTCTGCCTCTCCTCCAGCTTTCTTACTTTAATGATGTACTCCAGCTTTCTTACTTTAATGATGTACTCCAGCTTTCTTACTTTAATGATGTACTCCAGCTTTCTTACTTTAATGATGTACTCCAGCTTTCTTACTTTAATTATGTACTCCAGCTTTCCTACTGTAATGATGTACTCCAGCTTTCTTACTTTAATGATGTACTCCAGCTTTCTTACTTTAATGATGTACTCCAGCTTTCTCACTTTAATGATGTACTCCAGCTTTCTCACTGTAATGATGTACTCCAGCTTTCTTACTGTAATGATGTACTCCAGCTTTCTCTTTCTCACCACATGACCAAAGAATGTCTCTTTTTGACGTGGGCGATCAGTTCTCTTTGTGGATCAGTTTCTTTCAAGACAACCTCATTACTGTTTTTATCTGTCCAGGGTATTCTCACCATTCATCTATAAAACCACATCTCCGCAGCTCACACATAATTTTTTTTTGCTATTCTACCAAATGTCAATGATTTCCTTCCGTATATCAAACTAGGATTAATATAGCTTTTAAAAATTCTTTTTCGTCTGAACTGACAAAAAAAAAAAGATTGCATAAATATTGTTTATTTGGTAAAATGCTGCATTATATATTTTTTCATAAGGTCACATATCCATTCATTCTCAGCTCTGAGTTGCATTTTATAGCTCCCCTTGGACCAAATACACACATTTTCATAAACAAATGTTAGAACATTTTCTGGTGATCTGTGTAAAGGTGGTTTTTATGTTTTAAAAGGAATTCTTGGGTTCTGTGCCTTTTCCCAAAGAGTTTCTGGGTTGAAAGAATTTCAGCGTACAAATATAGCCAATTCAAAATGTGATTTGTCATCTGTTACAATGTATCTTCATTTCCAAAATTAGTAGTCAACAGAGTTTAAAATAAGACAACAGTTTTCATAAAATACACAATTACTGTTTTTTCTTAGAAATCTTCTTGAACTTCTGTTTAAGTTTATCTAAATTGACTTTAGAATCCTGTGCAACCTTGACCTTCTTCTGTGGTGGCTCCTGCGGTTCGTCAGGGGCTACAAAAGATTTATCCCTCTTCTGTTGCCGTTCCTGTTTTGACTGAGTCTGTTTTTGCCTTTTCAATTCTGTCTTACGCTGTTTCCGCTCATGCTCTTTGAGGAAATATTCACCGGATGCAAGTTCTTTATCGACCTTTGATTCCGGCTGTGGTGGCGGGAATGGTGTGTAGACCTTCTTGGTCTTCTTTTTCATAGGCTGCTTGCGTTTGCTGATATTTTTACCCTTGTACTGCGGCAAATATGCTTCCCAGTTCTCGTTGCGCATATCTGGATTTTTAGCCAGGTCATGTTTTTCCATAATTGTACGAATAGTAAAGAATGGGTGGATGTTGTTCATACAGTCCTCAACAATTTTTCTGACCTCCTTCAGCCCTTTATGAGGACCAAGTGCTGCCACGGTGTTTCCTTGTACAGCCACGTAGCAGTCTGTAAGACACTCGATCGCTTTCAGTGTAGTACCGCCAGGACCAATAAGTCTTTTTCTACGCTTGATGAATCGTTCCTTCTTCGCCACCATTGACCCAATTTTAATGACATCACAAGCCACATCGTCTTCCAGAACTCTCTTGGCCTGCTCGAGGTCAACACTGCGGGCCAGAAGGGTGATTAAGTCCCTGGCTTTGATGATCATGTATGGGTCATATGTCTTGCGTGTTGTCTTGACACTCAAACTGCCTTTGATCAAGTCCATCTCTGCCTCGATAGAATATTCTGACAAGATTTCCTTGACAAGTGGCCATACTTTAGACAGATAGCTCTCTCGGTACTTGGGAAACAGGACTGAGAATGAGCTCTCTGAAAGATAAAGAAAATACCACTAATTAACAAACTGACCGACAATAACACAATTTTAGAAATAGTTTTGGAATTTTACTACTTTAAAATATACACAAATCTTGTGTAAACTTCTTCTTAGCATCCACCACTTTTTACTTTGGCGGAAAAGTCTGGTGTTTGTCCACTTCTTGACTTTGATCTTGCTCCAGAACTCATTTTCCAGCTCTGGTTTATTTGTATGTAGCCCTTTTATTCCTTCTTGGAGCATACCCCCCCCCCCCCTTTACTGCATGTAATACATCTGATAAACAGTGGATTAGGGTGTCAGTTTGGTGAATAAGAAGACACCGGTTCAAAATCAGCAGAAAGTCTTTTTCTTGGCCTTCAAATCTATTGAACAAACTAATAATAGCACCACCCTAAAATAAGTTATCAAGTAATGTTCTGGGAAGTAAAGTTACACAGCTGCATGATTTTGACCACAGGACACACTAAGTGCCCACTGGTCAATCGAAATATGAGCCTAGCATCAGATCCCTGATGCCCCACTGAGAGAGAAAAAAGGGCCTTTTGCTTTTTGCAAGGAATACCAAACCAATCAGCCTGTTGAAAATAACAAGTAGCAAAATAGTGTTTTCTTGCAACTTTGAATACTGAATTAAAAATCAACATCATAGCACTTGGGACACTATACCCCCATCTTCAACAGCAAGCAAGGAGTTCCAATTCTGACGGTACTAGTAACTGCATGATTGTACATCCGTTTTGCATTTCACTTGAGTGTTGAGTGTCAGTCAAAACACCTGGCAACTCCCCGCAGCGCCATTCTCCTCAGACCCTGATGATCTATTTACGCCTCTGCAATATTCACTTGCTCCCAAAGAGCCCTCACAACATCTAGCTTTCATATACAGATTCATCCCAAGTGAATTACTCTCCTGTAACACTAAGCTGTCCTTGTGAACTTTCTATCTGCACGTTATGTCTATTTCTTTTCTGTTGTTGAATTCTACCTAATCTATAATGTGTTGAACTGGAGACAAACACACCCACACTGGACGGGAGGTTAATCTGTAGCTTCAGTTTGGTGGCCCAATATAAATGTGTTTTATGGCTATACGGCTGAATGGGGTTTTCGGGACTTGCACCTTCTGATTCTCATCCTTGAGATGGTAAAACTATATTACAATCCTGCAAGGTGGGGGGCAGAAGAAAAGCAGGCAAGGGTGGCACTGAGATTTTCTGCACCTCTCGTTACATAACTATAAAACAGTGTTGATGTTCTTTTACTCCTTACTAGAGCATAGCGCCTCCCTCCTAAAGACCTGCCCAAAAATAATAACAGCGGACGTGCTTCTCTTATAATACTTTCCTCTCGTGTCTATTTCTTTGAGTCTGTTAAACTCATCCATTCGAAACCGGGCGGTTCCCGGGGTTCACCCAGCCTCTAGGAAATGGGTACCAGAGTTGACACTCTGGGGGTAAATGGGGGAACGTCGCTGTAGCTACAGAGTAATATGCGAAAAGCGACACAGGCGGACATCTCCCGACTTTACCTTTTTATAATGTGCTGAACGTGGGATGTTCACCACCTCCTCTCATTACATCACCAAGAGCATTGTCTAAAGTGACTTCACGTTTGCCCCTACATTCCTTAGGCTATTTGAATATTCGGTATGCAAGGCTGCTGTTCATGAGACCCGAGTTTCGATCCTCTGTGAGGTTGGGATTTCTTCTGCTGGAGGCAAAAATATGAATCCTAGCCTGCAGATTATGGTGACAGCACTAGTCATGCGGGGCATTCAGGCCTAAAGATGCCCCCGCCTACAAGGCAAAGTTGTAAACACGGGCTGTAATTCCAGTTTATATTTCCTCCTATTCGAGCACAAGCCCCTAACCAGCCAACTGACTGACTTTCAACGGCGAAAGGATCTCAGAATGAGCGATTAACACTCAGTGATACAAAGTGTCACCACTCAGATGAGAATCACCCGGGTGCAAGTCCCAGAAACCCAGCTCAACCATTAGGTTATATTAGGGCCCCAGACTACAGCTATTTTTTTTCCTCTCAAAACTTTTGTTTGGATTCAGAATTCATGTACATATTTCAAAGTTACATTATATAGTGAAAGATACACAAAAGCAATCTATTTAGAGGACATGCATGTATGCAGAACTTTCATTTCTCCTTTCTCCCTCCCACTCTGACTCTGTCACTCGCAAGCTCACTCACAAAATCTTTCCTTTTCTCCTATCACTCTACCACCTTTTAAAGGTAACAATTACCCATACTCTGCTTTTAGGCAATGTCACAGTAAAAAGGTAACCCAAGGGCTGTAAACAAGCAGGAGTCACATAACGGGTGAGACTGGGAAACATTCAAATCCAGGTCTTCTAACATTTATTATTAGTTTCTCACATCACAGGAAAGGATTAACGAGTCCTTAATGTGTAACCTGGATGGGCTCAAGAATGAAATTCCATGTTCCGGACACATATTTCTTTAGTTTAAATTGGAAAATTCAATTGTTTTCCCTATGTTGTTTTGTTTTTCAACTTTTATTCACAGCATTAGTTACATTTACATGGTCTAATGAATGATACACCATTGGTGTTCTATTTGCCATCCATCCTCACTCTCTTTCCACTCCTATCCCTGTCTCGGGCGTAATCTAGATTTTCGCCAACATTCAGTTACAATTTTCAAGTGGTACATAAAGTAGTAAATTCTACATGTGGATAGAGACAAGGAGACAATTCTATATAAGTTGCATGAACGACAGATATCTCTCTTCCACTCTCTAATCACTTGTCGCTTCTCTCCTATATATATCTCTCTCCTCTCCTCCAAAACCTTCCCAACACGGCAAAGCCTAAAACACAAGTCCCGCTTATTTATCATCAATAATCAAACCAGCTCGTCAGACAAATATGTGAGAAAGACAAATCACGAATTTCGTTCCAGCCTAATGCCTACTTTACAACCACATCAATAGACAATACACATAATGTAATAACAGTACACAGCCATGGGAAGGGAAGGATTAATCTATTACTATTATCATGCACATCACAAGCTGGGACCAGGGCATTCTATGGACTATGATCCACAGGCAAATTCAAATCATCGAACATTAGAAAGAGATTAATTTTACTACACCCACTCCCTCCCAACAACAGTCGTTGTCATCAATTCGCGACTTCGCTGTGGGATAAGTCTGAGAAATATTTGAAAGAGCAGCAGATTAGTGATTAGTGTACCTGTAGTCTAGTAGTAGTAGTTAAGACTTAACTTAAGTTTCAAGAGAACGCTGGACGCGAGACGACATTGACATACATACATAGGATTGCTTTCGTACATTTTCAACATTCGTTTCAAACTTTACCTACTAATAAACCCCTCGGGTTGTCTTCTCTAGTAAATGGCTTGTCCTTCCATCCTTCTGGAACAGTGAGACGATCATCCTGTTTGTCTTCTGTCATCCTGAAATAAGTATTAAATCAAACACTGTCCGCGCACAAAAATTTCAGAAACCAACGAGGCCCTAACATTTGGAAATGATCACCCGGAAGCGGAAATCCAATTCGTAAATATTGCCATTATCTTAATTATCATTATCACCCTGTGCCGCGCTGAGGAGCGCAAGTGATCTTCCGTATAATTATATCGATTGTGGAGCAATAAATCTTTTCGGAAATTAGTGTGCGACAATATTTAGATAGTAGTCTTTTTGTCTATTCATGACATTGTTAGCATGTTAAATAGAAAGATGTACTTCTTGATAAGAAGATGTACTTCTTGGTAGATTCGACTACTGACTATGGTTTTCTTCTTTTCTTCTTCTTTTTCTTCTTCTTCTTCGTCTTATTGTTCTTCTTCTTCTTTTTCTTCTTCGTGTCCCCCTTCTTCTTCGTGTCCTTCTTTTTCTTTGTGCCCTTCTTCTTCGCGTTCATCGGTGAGAAGTTTTACAGATCTGGCTTATGTTTGAGGAGACTGGTTTCTCACCTCTCAGGTAGAAAGCCTCCTATTCAATTATTTGTTCTGTTTTAACATTCTGTCGTTCCCTTTACCAAACATCAAAGATCTTGGTTGTCACAGCCTTTGCCAGACCATCAAGCAGCACTGCATCGACAAACACATGACAGACGTCGTGTCCTGAGGTGGGTAATAATCATGCCCGTGTTTAGGATATATGACGCTCCTGTACATTTAGTCGTACCATATCGTCGCAGTATAAGTCGCAAGTCGAGTCCCGCGTCGCTGGACAAAACCCCTAATTCAGTCGCAAGTCGTTAATTGCGCGATTTGAGTCGTTTGCAATTCCTTCTTTATTTTTAAGGGCGATATAGACCCACTGCACCCATAACAGGCATGTGTTTCCTTGGAAGTCGGAGTTCGTCTACATGCGAGGCGAGGAAACCAATAGTCTGCTTACGAATAAACTACATCTGTAACACGGACATGCACGCAATACTCAAGTTCTTGAATGAGACTGAAGTATATGTTTCATGGTAAAGCGATGGTGGCAAAAGCTTGTAGGGATCAGGTGCAGTGGGCACTGAAACAGACCGAACATCCATATCAGATAAGAACTGTTATTCAAGTGTCGGGATCTGGCCAAACTGAACGCACAGAGGACGATTCTCCATCTTTCTGCTTCCGATTGTCTTTAATGTAGTAATGCTGGCCATAGAATGTAATGTCTGGGGCCTGCCGTCGCTAGACTAATATAAACAAATGTAGCTCATTCATTATTATCAAGTGCCTTGCCGACTGGCGTGGGCGATCCACAATCTGCGATCCTCAACTGCTAGTATCAGTTCGTGAGCTGATACCCCTCCGTGCCAAGACAAAAGACTGTCAAGAATCTTCTCACGATGTCTTCCTCTGTCCCTCTTTCCACAGATCTTTCCAGTGGTCACAACATGTTCCATTTTTCCCTCGTCTCATAACATGACCAAAAAACGATGACTGTCTTTTGCTGATATTTGTGATGAGTTGTCTTCGAGCATTCGCTTCTTTCAAAAACATTTGGGTTGCTGTTCTTAACTCTCCAAGGAATTCTAAGGATTCTTCTGGGAAACCACATCTCCGAGACCTCAAGATATTGTTCGGCTTGTTTATCAATTGCCCATGCTTCACAGCCGTATGTTAAAACTGGCTCTATATCGCATGCGATAATTCTTTTCCTAACCTCCAATGACATGGATTTATTGCACAAAATGTTCTTCATTTTGTAAAATGCAGTTTTGGTCTGTCCTATTCTATTCTTTATCTCTGTGATACATCTTCCATCCTATGTTATCCATGTGCCTAGATACTTAAATTTCTGTACTTGTGCTAAAATAACGCATTCGACTTTTATTTTACATTTAGGCACTATTCTCTTATAATTTATAGGAAATCACCGTTACTTCTGTCTTTCCATTATTCAAACTGAGACACATTGTGACTCATTGTCAAGTCATTTTTGTTTATTTGCATAAGCTTTTAATGAAGGAGGTCATCCCCCCCCCCCATTTATTAAAGACAATCCTTTGGAGCTCATGCTTCTTGTTTCTGTCATTAAAACAGGTGTCTTCTGTTATAGTGAAGAAAAACCACTCCAGGTTGACAAAATGTTCACGCCATTCTATAGCAGTCGATAAAATTAAGGGCGTGGAACATGGCAGAAGTATGTCATTTGTGAACTGTGCATACACAAGATATCAAAAAACATCTTGAAACCATATCAAGAGTAGCTGCTGTCTTTATAAGACTCCATTTAACTTCATGTAGAATTTTATGACCTAACAACCCACAGCATGTAAAAGGAATGGTTGTTAATCAATAATATTAAACGAAATACCGACAAGATGAGTGTCACGTGACGCCAGCATCATATTGCGGATACGGATACGGCCTCTCGCTCTGTTTTTCCTCTGTTAGAGTCAAAGATATGTAACCAAACTGTACCCTGAGTGAGGGAAATCAGACAGCGAAAATAAGCGGGAATATTTACAGACAAAATCTAGTCATGTTTTTGACTAGAGCCTTGGAAAAGATTCTCGCCGACAAGGAAATAAAAAAGGCGTATCATTCGCAGCTGAAAAAAGCTTGCGAATCAGCACTCGGTATGTTTCAGTTAGCAGACAGAATTCCAGTACTTTGTGTGTTGTGTGTGTATTTAATAACTTTTATTTTTTCTGCGTATTTGTTGCATGTTTTTATTTGTAAACATTAAAGTTAATTTTACTCAGGTAACTGATACCGGTTGAACAATGATGAGACACCTTTTAGTCAGTTGCACTTTCACTTAGCTACAACAAAACAGTAACACGTCATTTTGATCATTTTCATTTTGTCTTGACTAATCAAATGATTGTTTTATGTTGTTACAATTGTTAGTGATTAGTAAGGACCATCATCACAGTCACATCTCTCTGGACATATCCATAGATACTTCTCTTCTTCAGTATCCTTAAAATTAGAAGCATAAGGCTCTACTGGCAAATCCGGACGAAGACTAAACAGCCTTGGACGACTTAGTCAGAGTTCTCTCCCGTGTGCGCACTCCAAACAGTGATCGGAAAACAAACGAAACAAACGACACACTTAGCTATCATCCTGCGGTTGCGTGTAGGGCTGCGTACGGTTGCGTGAGGCATCGTGGCATCATCATATGGTTGCATGCAGGGTTGCGTACGGTTGCGTGAGGCATTGTGAATGGTTGTGTAGTCATCATCATGCGGTTGTTGGTTAGGGTTAGGGTTAGGGGTAGGGGTAGGGTTAGATGTGACAATTTTGACGTAGGATTTCGAAATACTGGCCGACAATCTGATGTTTGTGGGAGTGGCGCCACTGAAACTCTGCCAAATATGACGCCAATAGCGTGCGGCTGGTGCGAATTGTGCGTTTGACCAGCATCCAGAGGCCCTCGATTGTTTGTGTGTGTGTATGGGACTGTGCGCGATTATAGGGAACTCCGGCGTCAAAATTGTCAAATCTAACGCTAAACCTAACCATACCCCTAATCCTACTCCCTAACCCTAACCCCTACCCCTTAACCACGCAAATTTATCGATCATTAAAGCATACAATTCGGCAAACACCAACAAACAAAACACACCCAAAAAAACACCCAGAATTGTCCTGCAGCGTCGAAAAAAAAACCCACATCTGGGGGAAACAACCAAGCATTGGCAGCCCTGATGTCGACGTGACTGTCGTCTTTGTTTCGTTATGGCTTTTCCGATCACTGTTTGGAGTGCGCACACGGGAGAGAACTCTGAATAAGTCGTCCAAGGCTGTTTATTCTTCGTCCGGATTTGCCAGTAGAGCCGAAGCATTATATTATAGGATTGATCAACCTTATTGATTAACCAGACAACCTGTTACTTTAAGTATTTAAAGCAATTTTAAGGTTGTCCTTGCAGTAACTGTTTTTCCTTTCTTTCTGGTACACTGTCCAAATTGTAGTGGCGTTGGTGGCTAGATGCCCGCCTGCTGATTGAAAGGTCGTGGGTTCGCGTCCTGGTGGAGCCGGACTTTTTTCAAAAATGACCTTTTCTTCTGGGTTGACCTAGCCTTGAGTGGGTACCAGGTGCGGGTCTGGGAAGTAAACACAGCCACATCATCCACCAAGTGCCAATTGGTCTATAAAAATATGGATCTAGCACTATATGCCCAATACGCCTAAAGGGGTTGAAAAGAGACCTTTACTTTACACTGTCCAAATTATGCTTGCATTGTACATTATTTGCAGCACACTGTTTGCTACAGCACTGGTAGCACTTTGCTGCTGTGTACAAGTTTAGCTTTGTCAGTAAGAACTTGTCATTTCTACTGCAGTCATTGTCATCTTCTTTATAATCATCCTTGCATGTGACATTGGTAGTCACCTCTGCTCACAGTGACCAAAGCAGTAACATGGCTGGAGAGACAGGCCTTTTCCTGCGCATCCTTATCAGTGACTCAATGAGTGTGCTCAGGATGATAGAGAAGGGCTGGATCCAAAGACACTGTCTGGAGTCTCTAAAGTGGTCGGGTGCTGACACAAGTCAGTTTAATTGTTTGTGCCAGGGCACAATTGTGGAAAGGAAATGAGCAAGCTGATGGGCTTGCAGGTAAAGCTGTAGTGGAGGGTGGACCAGCCTTGGACCAGGCTGATATTCTGAATGCTGTACGAGAAGTAAGATGTTTGCGAGAACCAAGTGACGACTGTGAATCTGCAACAATAACCAGACTGCAAGAACAACACGTTGAAAGGGGAATGGCTAGACAAGAGCACTATGCAAGAAGCCAAAGAAGAATAAGAAACCAACACAGAACTGGTGTCCTGAGCTGCTACATGCTGTGGAATTTACTAAGGAGGGGATCCGAGCACTGATGGACTGAATGGTTTCATTTGCAGTGAGGATAATCTGTTGACTGACTAACTAGCTCACAACCTTCTGTCTTTTATACTGCCATTATTTCTGATAGAGATGTTTTTCCATGATGTCAGACGGTCCTTGTATTGCACACTCTGCTTTATTAGGACACCATCTGTAATATGAACCTGTAGTTACTGTCATCATTCTGATAAACTTGTGATTAGTTTGTGTATATTGCTGTGTTAAATATATGTGTATATATATATATATATATATATATATATATATATATATGTAGATATTGTAACGAATTTTATTTGAATGCAAAACTGTATTTTTTCAGAGGAGCTGAAAAATGAAAGCAAGACAAAGTGAGTATACATTAATTATAAGCATGTACATAGTTTAGTTCAGTCGAGGGATCAACATCATGGCTGATGGGTGTAAACGCATAAGTGCTCTGTTCTACTTCTAACTCAAGCCTGAGTCTGAAGAATTTCAACGCAGCATGTACATAACACACTCATCATCATCATGTAGCAGGTCCTTTGCAGAACGTCGCTCTCATCACAGTCTGACTGAAAGGAAACTCAGTCTGTCGCCAGGTACTTTCATACTCAAGGAGTCACTTCACATCTTCGTGTCGGTCGGCCCCTGCCCCTCCTTTGGTACCATGCCTTCTGCTATAGTTTTTTGCATCCGTTGTGGCGCATATGGACCAGAATATTTCAGCTTCCGAGAAAGGATGCTGTTATATTAGCCAATCTTCCTTGATGTTCAGATCCTATGATGTCAGTATTTCTACCTCTTTCTTTGTCCAAGATATTCTAAGAATCTTTCTATAGCATTTCAGCTCAAAAGCCCCTATTCTCTTTCTTAAGGACTGACATAACACACTTGAAATGTAAAATCAGTTTCCTCAGGTAACCCCTGCAGTCTCACAAGCTATTGTTTTACATTTCTTTATGTTGTATGGTTGCATTGGGTAGAAAAATGAACAAGGCAGTCCTTGAGACAGATGAAAAGCTTAAACTGATGAGAGAAATAGATGCAGTCAATGTGGATATTTTATGAGCAGGAATAAACATGATTTATTGGGGGGAAAAACAATAGGGTAGCAAAAAGATAAATACTTGGAAAGCTTGGCTATATGGATGAGGTGAGGCAAGAACATTGACCTTATCCATGATTCTGGTGGTTATGTGGCCAGACATGACCACTGACACTGCACGTGGTGATGATGGTAATTATTTGCTGACATGTAGAATGACAAGTATAATAATTGTACTTATCACTGTGTATCCAAGAAAGGTGGCTGGATACCTACACCAGTTTTTCTCTCCAAGACTCACTTCATCACCTTTCTAGAGAGGGACAGTGCATTATATTCAGACTAAGGACTGGGCACAACAGATTTCGTCAACATATGTTCAAAATTTTCGGTGTAGGAAATACGGAGACGTGTCCCTGCAGCGTGGCACCCGAAAATGCTGAGCATGTGCTCCAACACTGTCAGCTGTATGCTGACAACAGAGACGCAATCTGGCCTGTTCCAACCACACTGAAGACAAAACTGTATGGTACACGAGAGGATATGGATTGCACGATAGCTTTCATAAAGGCTACTGGCCTCCTGATATAAGTTTTCTGACAGAAGGATCGAAGAAGAAGAAGAAGAGACTGTCATTTTTCGTTTTTTATTTGTTAAAATTGTCTGTTGGTAAAACTTAAACAAGTAGCATATGGAAAGCTTTTTTTCGCTTGTGGGTGTGAGTCAATGAGTGGTTTGAAATGCTTTCTCTTTCACACCATTGAGCATATGGTTAGCTAGTTAGTTAGTTTGTTCGTTTGTTAGTTAGTTAATTAGTTTGTTTGTTTGATAGTTAAGTTAGTTCATTAGTTAGTTAGTTAATCAGTCAGTCAGGATTCCAAAAGCATTGTAGACAGGTCACGCTGTGACTGCTCCATTATGGTGCTAATGGAAGTCTCGTAAAATGTTCTTCATTGTTTCATTTGAAAACTAGTGGAAAAAACTTGTCAGAGCAAGTGTGAAGTTTTCGTACGCAAAGTAAACATGTAAGATGTGCCATCACTAATGGTACCACACTAGAATTAGAGCTCACTATTGGTGCAGTCAGTTATGAAAGCTGGTATTGCACCCGCAAAAAGTACAGGCCAATCTACACATAATATACACCTACAGAAAGTGGAGCCCAAAGTCTTAATGGGAGACCTTAGAAGACTGCACAAGTACTGCCAAAGATGGAAACTCAAAGTTAACTATACAATGACGGGCTACACAATCTTTACCAAAAGCCATCAAGTAGCAAGGAAGAATATTAACCTAAGGTGAGACAAGCACCAGGTGATGAAAGAAGAGCATCCTACATATCTTGGAGTCACACTTCACAGGCAGCTGAGCCTCAAGAATCATACTGAAAACTTAAGGAATAAGGCATTGAAGCGGTTGCAGTTATTCAAGAGACTTGCAGGTACAGCTTGGGGATCAGACAAGGAAACTCTGAGGGGCTTGTATCTCGGATATGTTCGCTCTGTGATAGAGTATAACAACTCGCTGCTTGCAACCTGCTCCAAGACAAACCTAGAGTCTCTTGACAGAGTAAAAAATAATGCCATCCGATTAATCAGCAGAGCTATGCAGTCTACTCCAACGGCTGCATGTGAAATCCATACAAATGTGGAACTCCTCGGGTTGCGGAGAGAAAAAGCCACTTTAGAAATTGATGAAAGATGCATTAGAAAGAATCGTAACCATCCTAATAGACACCTTATAGAAAATAGGAAATGCAAACAAAGAATAAAGCACAAATCAGTTTTACACTGTATACATGAGGTACAGGACAGATACCACCTCCCAGAAAGTGTCAGGGCACTTAGAATGTTGCAAGAAACTTACCACCACATGCTCGCTTTAAAGCTTCAGAAGTCCGGTTGAAATTGGTAAACGAAGAAACTAAATAGTCCAATCCAATCACCTTTATGAACTCATCACTAAAGACCATTGATTCTTACCCCGAAGAATGGATACATGTTTATACTGATGGATCTGCATTCAAAGCTACCATTAAAGCAGGTTACGGAATCTACATAGGTTACCCTGATGGATCTATTAAAGAGATATTTGATGCATCCGGGGAATTCTGCTCAAATTATGAAGCTGAAATAATTGCACTGGAAACAGCAGTATACCACCTAAAGACTGTAATGGATGTTTATCCTTCAAAGGCCCAAAATATTGTCATCTTCACTGATTCAATGTCTGCTCTTCAAGCTCTAGAGGGCAGTGAATGCTGCAGAATTGACATAGCCAAGATAATTCTATATGCTGATCAGCTTATTACCCCATACAACATCAGAATAGTGATGCAGTGGATTCCAGGTCACTCCGGCACACCAGGTAATGACAGAGCTGACAGATTGGCAAAGAAAGGAGCAACACAAGAACAACCACATACAGCGACAACCCTGCAGACAGCAAAAACACTTATAAAAGCTATAAACAAAGAGACTTGGCTGAACAGATGGGCCATGGGAGATACTGGAAGAGAGTTTTATAGACACATGGCTAGTCCTGATCCTAACGACAGCATTAACCATTTAACAAAGAAGGGCCACCATCTTCAGACTCAGAACACAGCATACTTCACTCAGTGGACACTTAAACAGAATACAGCCACAACACTCTCCAGAGTGCCAGCTATGTAACTACCCCTACGAAACTGTTGACCATCATCTCTTTGAGTGCCCAAAACTCAACGAGACTAGAAGAATGCTACTCCCTCGAGACCAGACAGGTGGAACACCTTGTACGGAGGAAAATAAAAGCTTGTGAAAACATGTAAATTCCACTACATGGCATTGGCCCAAAGGGTGAAAGCTCATGCGCCGCTGGATCAATAACAACAACAACCACATAATCGGCCACTCACCATTTTAGTACAGTCAACAACACGCCCTTAGAACAACAACACCAACAAAACATTCCACATGAAATTCACAGCTCAGTGTTAAACAAACAAGTAAGCTCAGTAGCTGGGCAAGGGTACCTCTGGACTCTTGGTCCAGAAATGGGGAATTTGCATCAGCAAATCCATGCTGGAAACAAACTACTTTTCAGAATGTTAGCGTCAACAGGCTGTTGACCATTTGGGCTGGAAGTCTGAGGCAAATGGTGCAAGGCCCATATGTTTATAGACAGATAGACACTCGATGGGTGATGTTGTCAAAATAACACTGTCTTTACTTTTCCTGGTACCAGTTTTAGGCTGGTTCAATCTAGGAGCCCTAGCAAAATAAAATAAACTTATTGGATTCAAACCTAATCCTTTTGTTGGGTGACATTTGTCTAGCCACTATGCTACTGCACCTTCCAGTCAAAATTCTGGGGCAAGGAAATGAAACTGCAATTATTTTTTAAGTTTTCATGTCCGAGGATGTAACTTATGGATGTGAGTTATGTACTTTTAGTCATTGAAGACAAAAATTGGAGCTTCTTATCTGAAATGCTCCCCCCAAAAAATGTAAATTACCACAGACCAAGAAGAAAATATGCTCATATATATGGTCTGGGCATCGAGGACAAATGGCTTTTAAACAGCATCCTGATTGATGATGATTTAAATAACGTAAAATAAAAAAGAAATAATAAAAAATTAAGTGAGTTTTATAATTTTCTAAAGTCATAGTACTAAGGTACAATAAAGCCAATCAAGTTTGAGGCCAAATGGCACCAATTTTGAAATGCAAGCATGTGAATATGAATACCAAAAGAACACTGTTCTACACAGTATTTTTTACCACGCTGTGCCATCAGTATCAAACATGGACACTGTCTTCAATAGACAGAAGGAAAATAGTCATGACAGAAATGAAATGTTTACATGTGCCAGGCGTAGCTAAGGAAAGATCGACTTAGGAGTGACGATATCAGGAGGGGAGCTGGCACAGTAAGAAAACAGACAAACAAACTGATACTTTATAATGGCATCAGAGACAGCAGTGTTAAACAGATATATGGTAACAGGCCATTGTAAACAAGATATGGTATCAGACATAGGGCAAAAAAAAAGAACATAGTACTAATGTCTTTCTTTACTGGTGAAGCATTTCTCACATTTTTCCTCTATGTTCTTGTTTAAAAGTAAACAGCTCAGCCAGACATTTTCATCGATTGACACATTGTATTGATTGGTTTGATCTTCTTTAGGGTTGAAGTGCCAGAGTCTTCTGCGTTGCCAGTGCCAAAACAAGCAGGCTTTGTGGAAGCTGATAAATATTTTCTGCCTTTTGAGCTTGCATGCCAATCAAAGTGCCCTCGGATTGTTAATATAGCCTTAGATTGTTTACAGGTGGGTCTGACTGTCTGACAGTGCATTATGTTGAATCAGGTTGGGGGAGAGGAAAGAGGGGGGTGTTGTATACATATTTATAAAGTAAGTACAAGTAAAGTAAAGGGCCCTTTTTTCACGCCTTCACCTGTGTTGGGCATATAGGGCTAGACCTATAATTTATAGACCATTCGGCACTTGGTGGGTGATGTGGTCAGTATCATTCCGGCCGTCTTGTCTTCACACCCATTAGAAAATAGGAGGTTTTTTTCCACAAAATGGCTGAAAGCTAAGGCAGAAGCAAAAACAAATGTAGATAATCAGACAGCAGAGCATGTACTCCAGGACTGCTTATTTCCCCCACACATTTGAAGGCATGTTTTTTAGGGGTGGGGGCAGTGGGTCGCTTCCTATTTCCCCCCCACAAGCGGGGCTCTAGAACCTACACTTCAAGTAAAAAGTTGATTCAGTGTACCCTTTTAGTCTCATGATTTCATGATTGCACAATAATGATATTATCCGCATATTTTCAGAAATTGATTGCACATTAATTATATTATTCACATGTTTTCAGAAATTGATTGCATATTAATGATATTATCCACGGATTTTCAGAAATTGATTGCGTATGGCCACCTGACAGGAAACACTCCAGACTCGACAACTCCAGGAAAATGTTTAATAGACCGCATCGTTGAAACAATATGTGGGTGTTTTAACGGACCACAGACAGACGAGGGAGTACAGCTACAGATCATTAAGGTGAGTACCAACGCCTCGGTAGTTTAACAGCAAGTATAATTCTTCTTCTTCTGCGCTCACATGAAAGGGGTGGTTGGCACATTGTGTTGAGGTTTACAGCTAGGCTGTGGTTTCTGCGCCTTTCGGCTCAGCACATCTGATTTCATCAACTCTCCAATAAGTCACATTTTACGACATGCTTCTTTATCGGCTGTGGGTCTATTTCTTGTCCTTTGGAATATAGCCTCAGAACCCATACAGGAACAGGTGTGCTCTTCTTTCCCCTCTTGAATTTTTGTTGTTGCAAAAATAGCTTTAAATTATGTAGGTTTTTTTTAAATTATTTTTTAAGTAGATAGTTTTGAGGTGTTTTATAAACTATTTAGTGAGGTGTTTTATAAACTATTTAGTGAGGTGTTTTATAAACTATTTAGTGAGGTGTTTTATAAACTATTTAGTGAGGTGTTTTATAAACTATTTAGAATGGCCACAGTGAACATATACATCAGCCTGCATATTTGACAATGATGTTATATTAAGCACTAAAGGAGGAGTGCCTGACCAAGCAGTTAAGAACACTTAGCTCTCATTTGGAAACCCAGGTTTATATTATCGGTATAAAGTGGTGTATGTTTTTCTAACTGGGGCAAAAAATAAAATCCTAACTTGCACAGTTTGTGGCAACTACACTAGAAATGTGGCCCTAAAGCTCGAAGTCCTCAGGATCAAGACCCCCCCCCCCCCCACCCACACCATCCTACACTGTCCTAAAATGTAAATACAGCCAGTAAGACAGTTGACAGGTTTTTTATTTCTTCTCCATGTAGGCGTTGTTGACGGTGGTGACATCGACTACGTGTGAAATTCACGAGGGCACTGTTCTTCAGACTGTGCGTACTTGCTACAACATATACTTGGCCAGTCGAAGTCTCGTTAACAGAATGACTGCCAAGGCAACCCTGACACAGATGTTGAATGTCATCTTTAGTCGAATGGAAGCTCAAGCCGTAAGTTACATCTGTTGTTTGTGTCACGGGGAAATGAGTATGTAAATATGTTTAATGTTGAATTAAGGAAAAAAACCAACATGATATACAAAACTATTAGTTGCATGCAAACAAGTGGTTAGAATAAGATTAAACTTGGAGAAATTGTAGAGAATATGTTTACCTTTCATCTAGTGCCAAAATTCCACCTTTGTGTGCCAATCCGCCCAGCAGGATCAGCCTTGTTTCACAAAGCGAGCACCAGATATTGCTGTTTGAGAGACACGCCCTCTTCTCTAACTATCAATCTAGTTCTAAATTTATAGGGTTCAAGATTCTCCTCATTACTGGTGCTCACTGTCTGTGTCACTTCAACTGGGAATGTATTCTTGATGAAATTCAACAAAAGTACCGATCACCTGTTGGACTGTGAAAAGCCTAGACCTACTTTCCTTTCCTGTCCAAGTGCTTAGTTCATCAGCTGCTCGTTTCATTGTGAATTTTCTGAATTTTTTCACGTTAAACTGAACAAAGTAAATCCAGACACATGGGGGCAGCCATTTTTAATCACTAACAATGGGGTTTGACCACAATTAGTTGGTTATTTTTAGTTTGTGATGCATTTCTTCACGTAGTACGCAAAGGACCTAAAATTAGGTACAGCGGTTTAGCGGCAGATTAGGAAATTCCCGGAAAAGCAGTACAGCGGTCTGGTAGAGTTAAAGAATAGTGTATTTCTAGCATGACATGGAGATTGCAGCAAAATTTTAAGCATTGGACAACATTTATATATATATATATATAAAAAGTTCTTAGTAAACACAAAGTGAAGCCTTAAATTGAATGGGCCTAAAAGAAAATATGTATCGGATGACTCATTCTTTGACCTCAGTCATTGAGGCTGCAGGGAAAATTTGATGTCAGTGATGCTTTAAAAAGCCATTTAGGTCATAAGACCCACACACCCCCACCACATGCTATTTTTAGTTAATATAGTTATATCCTGACCTCCTAAATGCTGCACATATGCAAATAAAATCAGTGGCATTAACTTGGTATCTCAGAAACATGCCAGTTTAAAGTAGTTGGTTAAGGGACATAAAAAACGAAATTTTTTACAATATTGTTCCCAGTTTGAGTTAAAGTCATCATCATCATGTAGCAGATCCTTTGCAGAACGTCGCTCCTCATCACAGTCTGCCTGAAAGAAACTTGGTCTCTCGCCAATTCTCCCGCCTCATGTACTTTCATACTCAAGGAGTCACTTATATCCTGTGCCCATCTTCGTGTCGGTCGGCCCCTGCCCCTCCTTCCTGGTAACAAGCCTTCTGCCATAATTTGTTCCAATCCCTCGTGGCGCTTGATATGACCAAAATATTTCAGCTTCTGAGACAGGATGCTGTTCATTAGCGAATCTTCCTTGATGTTCAGAACTTTCAAGATGTCAGTATTTCTCCTCTTCTTTGTCCAAGATATTCTGAGAATGTTTCTATAGCATTTCAGCTCAAAAGCCCCTATTCTCTTTCTTAAGGACTGAGAGATAGTCCACGACTCACATCCGTATGTTGCTACAGGGAAGATGCATGCTCTAAAAATTCTAATTGTGATCTCCTTGCTGGTGCTAAACCATGGACTTTTAAGGCTGTTCAATAAATTAAAGTAGGAAACATGATCTCTTTACATTCTATTGTGTCTTGAATCCAATACCGCAGGCTGAAGATGAAAAATCTCCAGATCGATGTGACAGTAAAGACAGTAAAAAATTGGATGGGGAAAACAACAAGCTAGAAGTAAATTGTCTTCTCTGACTTTTTTTTGGTTTTGTTTTTGTGTGTGTCTATCTGAAAAATATTTCATTCTGTAAAAAAATGTGTTATTCTGTGTTCTATAATTTTTTCTTTTTTAATTAAAAAAAATTTTATTTTAATTTTTTTTATTTTTATGTTCTGAAAGAAACCTTTTGGTTTTGTATTTATTGTTGTTTATTAAAAATGATAAGGATAAATTAGTGCTGGAGAATGGAAGTGCCAGCCCAAAGTTCTTCAGTTTGAATCTGCATCCATTTGGATGTGAAGCAACTTTAAAAGTTAGTTGTTGTTTCCTTTACAGGACGTTTCAGACCAACCATCAAATGTTCTGGCTGTTGTGGTAAAGACAGTCGAGGGTATTTCGACCACATCATTCATCGAATGCTGATTAGTCTATAAAAAAAATGACTTTAGCATTATATGGCTGATATGCCACTGGCATCACAGAGTGCTGATGGTCTGTAAAAATATGGGACGCTCTGCCCATATGCCCGATGCGCCGAAAGGCGTGAAAAGGGAACTTTACTTTTTTTTTTCTTTGGTCAGACAGTTTTAAAATGATTGGGGAATAGTCTCTGAAGAAACGGTGAAGAGGCAGAGAAATGAGCGCCCTGCCTTACATGTTATGACTTAGAATATATGAAAGCCTAATATTTCACAAATCCTGCTAATAACAGATAAAGAACTGAGGTGGGGAAGAATTGCTCATCCCTGGCCAATGTATCAAGGGAAGACAATGGAGATGGTGGACATGTTTGCAGAATGCCTTGTGACACTTTGGCCAGGTGAGCTGTGTAGTGGATGGCAGCTAGAAAAAAGCAGAAGTGGACGACCTGGGGGAACCTGAAGGACAGTAGAAATGGAAATGAAGATGTGTGATATACTGTGGGCAGAAAAGCAGCAGACAGACAACAGTGGAAATCACTTTTGAATGCTTCATTTGGCAGAGGATATAGACAGACAGAAAGAGAGAATATTTTGCATGCCATGGTAGTTCTAATGGAACAAAGGAGAAACAACACACCCTTTCATTGTCATTACCAGAAATCAAAACCCTTATCATCGGAAAATACAAGGAATTGTGGAGAGAACAAACTAACAGTAAACATCCACAAGACCCATCAGCAGATTCAACAAAAAGTATCATACAACAATATTCCGTCCACAAACAGGACACTGCAGACTCAACTGCCACATGCATAAAATAAAGATTGTACAATCCCCCCAGTGTGCCTGTAAATCAGGACCACAAACACCTGAGCACTTTCTGCAGACCTGCCCACTCTACCTACAACTTTGAAAAGACACCTGGCCTCAGGAGCAAAGTGTGCAGAGCAAACTATGGGGAACCATGAAGGACCTGCTACTGACATGCAAGTTCATAGAGGCAATTCATCTGATGGTCTGATCTGAGCATACAAAACTAAATGCAAAGAAGTAGAAGAAGAATACAAACTACTGAAATATAAATTATTAAGAAGCTGAAAGTGTTAAATATCTTACAGGAGGCAGCATTTACTGATAATGCCATTTATTTGAGGGCTGAGCATAAGGCTCTAGGACTGGGTTTATTTAGTAAGTTGATATACATACATACAAACATATATATATATATATATTTTGCTTTTAGACACAAAACTTTGATAGCTGACACTTTAAACACCCAGTTCATAACAAACTTTGCTGTCAAGTTTATTACATTAAAAAGCATTTATGATCAAAGGTAGAAATAGATCAAACATTTGTTAACAGATGAAGAAAGGTTTAGTTTTTGCTGTAGATGTGACTTGTTTTTGCCACATGTTATGTAGAGTAAAAGGATATAGTCCCATTGCTCCGATACCGAGTTGAATGCATTGTTTCGACACTGAGCTGTGGATTTCATTTGGAATCTTTTACTACTGTGCCCAGCATGGTTTTTAATTGTGAACTACATTTCAGAAATGGCAAGTTGCCTGTTGCCACAAGAAAGAAAAAAGACTTGGTGGTGCCTAATGGCAATTAATTGCTTGTGCAACTACTGATCTGTTTGTAACCACTGCTTCCATTGACAATTACTACACTTTTTTGTGTTTCGACTGTTTTGTGCTGACAACTGACTGCTGTTGGAATTCTTTTGCTAGACTACAGTCTGTGTTTTATTTTTCCAACGGGGACAATCATGGGCATTCTGTGTGATTTTTTGTTGTCGCAGGACAGGGGGTTCAACTATGGGGTTAGCGGTCAT